AGGAGGCATCGCGGTGGATCGTATGTGTGCCGTGTTGTTGTTCATGCGTGCTCCTACAATTGCGGGGACGTATGGGTACTGTTGATCGGTCATATGATATTGAGATCGAATAATAAGAAGATGCATCCTCGTCTATAGAACACGGCATTTAGAATTGAATGCAGGGATTGATCGATTGACTAATAACGCGACTTGAATACGTAAAAACTAGAGAACTGAAGGAAGAAGTTGAGCAAACGAGAGTGGGATATATGCAAAATATGCACAATATGTTTGGCAAGCCACCAACAACTCAGCAAAGCGCCGCTGCCTCAACCACTCAGTCTTACGTATGCAATCGAAGCGAGGCATCTACGTACGACGAAACTTATTGCTAGCGACTCCAGGATCGACAACTGCTTCTTGATATCAGAGTGTTGCAGATAGCCTACTTTGCTCGCAGACCTTCAAGATAGATAAAGTGTCAACCATGGTTACTTGGATATTGTATGGATAACGGATCAGCGGAGATGCGGTCTGAATGAAACATCGTGACCGAGCGAACTTCTCTACGGGCAAAATTACAGAGGCAACAATTTCCTGCTATAAGCGAAATCTACGGATCTGAGGTTCGTATGGTAGCAAGATGTCTAGACCATGTAGGTCTCAGTGAAGTACCTGATGCATACAAGCTGATAACAACGAACAGGACTCGAACCGGGCGAGAGCAGCTACCCTTCGCGAGCGGCAATTGTTTGAGGCGAGCCGATCCAGCCAGTAAAATGGAGCGGATAGTTGTAAACCAGCACTGATGCTTCCTCGGACACCGGCAAGCATCTGAGATACTTCTGATTGGTATATCCCATCGGTTGAAGCCTTGACGCGACAGGACTCACCGACGGTATGGCTGATGTTCCCGCACACGGCTTATGAAAAAATCAGCGAAAAATCTGTTTGCCTCGACAGAAGTTCGAGAGTGGTCCACTGACAGCTTCGAGTTCCATTCGTAAGACGGTTTCTCTGGGTGAAACTGAGCGTCGTTAACGACCACATGAATGACATCACAAGATTGTTAACTTTAAAATCACCTGAACAGCCCATACCCCATCGAATTCGTTTCGACCCTCCACAACAGCGATGAACTCCCTGTCAACCTCAGTACTCGTGGACGTAGCCAAGACTTTGAAGTTCTTCTCGGCTTCGGGGAAACTAGCAGTGCATAGATGGAAAAAGGGCCGCGTTAGAACTATGATCCTCTACCACCCACCTTGAGAGTTGATCGACCCAAACACCCCAATCGTGATGATTGTACGTCATGTCCCCAGCGGAAGTAGCCTGTACGGCCTGATAGAAACACCCATCACACAACGCCTGATACAACAGTACTAACCTGG